AGCTCTAGGCCTCTGCCTACGTTACCAATAGTACAAGACCCTTGTCTTCTACCGGGAACGCCTATCGTAAGCTTTCTCTAACTCTTCTTCGTAAAGCTCTTTCCTTGGCATAACGATATCGTTGCAATAAAGGTAAAGATCGTAAGAGTGTTTTATATTCATTAAAGTAATATGTAGGAAAAGTACTTAGAACAAAGCGTGAAGAACCTATCTTCCTCAGCCGCATCGGCCTCCTTATATAGTGTTCTTCCCGCCTTTAATCATGTGACCATGTGCAAAACTAAATCATAACAAACTAATCATATGACCAAAGTGATCACATGCTCAAAACCCATGACCTCATAGCGAGGTCATGTGTGAAACTCATAAATCAATCATAACGTAATAAACAAGTCATATGACTCGACTGAGTCATATGCACGAAACCCATGACATCATAATGAGGTCATGTGCGAAACATAAATCATATGCGCAAGGCTTGCCCGTAAGGCACACTCGTAAGGCATACTCGTCAGGCGCATATCCCATGACTCATACTTGAACCATGTGCAAAAGCATCACAAATCCCACACATAACTAATCATATAACCCAAATAGGTCATATGTGTGAAACAATAACATACCTGTGACTCATAACCATGTGTCACGTGAAAAACCCTTTCCTCGCTAAGCCACATTCGTGATAAGGACTCCTTACTATTAACAAATACAAGATAGAAGAGTAACAGTTATGTATTCCCTTTATTTGTTTCTTCAAGGGGGAATGTAACAGAATCTCTTTATTGTTGCTATTGTTGAACTAGTTGGATACTAGTTACTCTATCTAGGTACATACCTGGTAGTACATTTCTTTTATTATAGTATTCTTATTGACTAGGCTTACCTAATTGGTTATACTTTTCTTTATTTGCTTGTACTTTGCTGTTGCCAAATAGGGTACTTCCTAGCACTACTCTTACTATTGGATTAGTATAATAGTAATGATCGCTTGTTTTATCCTTAAAGGATTCCATTACTTGTTTTATTTGATAATGATAGAATCGTTATGTTTCCTAGCTACAATTTTTTATATTTAAAGAGCCTGAGATCCCCAAAGGACTTAGTCTCCCAAGCTTCACAGGAACACTCTTCTTAATATATGACAAGTTGAATAGTCACTCTATTGTTCCTCACCTTTACCCTTTGAAGAAGAATACCTTTGAATGCTTCTCATTATATCCTAATAGTGTTTGAGATCTCTCTGAGATCTCAAGGCACTTAGGAGTAGGTTATACTATTATTTGTTGCTATGTAAAATCCCATACAAATTGGCTATCTTGGCATGAATTTGGCATTGCCTTCTTTAAAAATTTATTCGGCCCCCCTCTAGGATGTATTCCTATAGCATTGTAATCCTTCCATAAGCCTTTCAGAATTCGGATCCATTCCTATAGTCTGACATTTAACTATGTGAATCTTTGGATTAAGCTCTCTATCAATAAATTTTTTATGGAGTTGATAAGCATGTACAAAAAGTGGTGGTTTGTATAGAAAACTGAGGAGGCACATTTCTTCTGTTGCCAGGCTCATGGAGTGCCCTTAACACCAAATGATGGGCGATTTGGTAGCTGCTGTGATGTGCTGGGCAGCAATGATGCACCAGGTCATGGTGCGCAGCCCCTGGAAGAACTTGTTGTTTGCTCAGGAGGATTAAAAAAAGGATCCTAACGCGCCCCAAAGTGGCATCCAGGGCACCGCTTTCGGACCCTCCTCGTAAAAGATCACTCGGCCCCTCCCCGTCTCATCTCGGGTCGGCAAACCATTGTTTAAAAAATGCCTTTTTCCCTTTTCCCTTTTCCCTTCACCCTCTCCGCATGATGATGGCCTTTCCTACTCCTGTTCCACCATATGTAATTATACTCCCCGGAGTGATGAATGAACGAATCACCAAGCCTCTTTTCCCTTTATCGTAATTTTTGGTTTTTTTTTCTTCTCTTCCTCCGTGTTCCCACCTAGTGGAATATATTATACCGTGCAGAGAGTAGATCCCATCACAGCACAGGGCAAGATGAGAACAAAAAAGAAGAAAAAACGAAAAGCACGCAATCTGCACAGCACAGCCAGAAAAAGAAAATAATAAAGGAGGAGGAGGAAAAAAAGGAAAGAGTCAGCGTTTAAGATACCCGCACGATAGGTGAAGTTTAAGTTGCGGCGCGTTCCGGCGCGGAGTCGAACCTGATTAGCTGCCGCAAAGTTCCGTACGGTAATGTGCGGTGTCATCCATACACCGTGCTCGAGTACAGTAGTCTACTTTGTCCCAGGCCATAAATTTAAGTGCCCATCAGGAAGAGGTTGGTGAACGGGGTCGGTTTGGGTTAGTTGGTTAACCTGCGAGATAATCACTGTCCTGTATGGAGACATCTCCCAGGGTACTGTGCTCGTATCGTACCGTATTGTATTTATTGTGCTACTGTGCTCGTACCAGCACTTGCGCGTCGCAAAAGTGTCGGGAAATCTTGGCACAGTTTCGGCCTATGGAACGCCGGGATTTCCGGGTACGCCTGCAAGGCTCAAAGCGCAACTACAGTACCGATACCTCGCACCTCCAAGTCGAAGTTAGACAACTGAGGTGGCAATTCCCATACGGCACAATGGGCCACGCAAGGCTCTGGAAGCAAGAGCAAAGAATGGCTAGACTATAGTCTAATCAACGATCAACAACAGTACTAGTAGCACAATACTGTACGAGTACTCTCCCCGTTTTCTCGACGCTTTTATGAAGCCCCCGGAACATGATTTACGCATCCGTAGGCCCAAATATTGACCTCCGACCCGCCAAACCTGGTGCCCTGCACCCACCAATTATAATGTGACCGAGTCGCTTCTTTTATTTCTTTCTCTCCCCCCATTTCGGAGATTTTTAAGAAAACGTCGAGTGCCGTAGACTGCCGTGTCGCTTTTCAGCTCCCCCCTGCGCTGGGGCGGAAGGAGGGAAACTTCTTTGCCTTGCTTCCGAGCACCCCCGGAAAGATATCCAAACCAGATGACATCGCTCTTGCAGCAGAGAACCTGAAACACTCTGGGGCGAGATTAAGTCTGTGGGTACAGTACACCGACCAAGCCTGTAAGGGCGATTTTGAAAAGAAAAGAAAATTGGTGTACTCGAGTACGGTATTCGAGTTGCCGGCCCAGCCACAGACTTGATCTCACCCCGAGTAAGGAGGCCAGAACGCTGGCGTAGGGTTGCGTTTCTCGTTTCTATTGCTAGTAGTGACGCAGTGAGAGAAAAGGCAATTGTAATTCGGCTACATGAGCGTGAGGAGAGTGCGGTAAGGATGCTCGGGGGGTACCGTAGGAGGGGTTGATTATCTGGAGTGCTGTGGTGCTAGATTTTGTGATCATAGGCCAAGCCGTAGTCTACGCTCTATCATCGTGCTCGAGCACTGCAGGGTGCAACTCTAAACATGTCGTCAATCCCGATCTCTAATCAGTAAACGACAGCAACAAGTGGACAGTAAAGAAATAAACCTAACTTACGGGTTGCAGCTGCCGAAGCTAGGAAGCAAGTGGCTCTCCTTGTTGATTTTGAATCAGATAGTCTACCGGTACCGGTATGAACCAGCTGGAAAAATTAGCCGTTCAGAATGGGTTTAGGTGAGAGTGAAACAAGTACTCAGATCTTCGCAAGGTGGGATACTTGTACCAGCAAAATTGGCCCCGTTCACCACCGACTCGGCGTTTCACGGAGGGCTTACCTTTACGCGTGTCGCGCTATATAGCACTTTTACAAGCACCCGACCCAGCTTAACCCAGCATAGGGAGGGGGAGCAAGGAACAGGAGGGGACGACGAAGGATACACAAAAAAGAGCCTGGTGGCAAAAGTCAAATTTGGCAGGGCTGTTCGTTGTCCCTGCTTCCATGTTAACTGTCAGTGCTATATGGTACTCGTACAGACCGTATACCGAAACGGACAAATCCCCGACTCGGGGCCCGGGGTCGAGCCGCATCCAGGGTACCCGGACCGATCGGATGCATGCATGTTTGTTTTATGTTGTGCATACGGGTACGGTATGATATGATATATGACACTTTGCGCACTCATTGATAGGGTTGAATTCCGAGTTTCAGCCCCGTCACCTTTCGGCATCGGTCGGGAGCAGGGTCGTCTCAACTCGGCTAGTATGATATGGAGAGTGGGCCGGGGTTGGGTTCGGGATTGCTGGGATGTATGGATGTGTATGTCTTGGGGTACGGTGCGGTAGTTATGGTGCCGTGGTGTGCCGGTATGATAATTATGAGGGTCAATTTCTGTGAGACGCCACACTTCATCGATGGGTTAAGGCGGAGGCTCAAAGCCACCCTCTCACAAAACGCTATCACCCCGCATCCTGGTTGGACTCTGGAAAACTGGCACCGGAGAGATGGGCTTACAGTACCGGGCGATACTGCGGTGTGGGTAAGATGCTTGCAAAAATTGATAGCTTGGACTGACCCCGGGCCACGCAGCTCTACCGGTGCTCCATTCCCTCCATTCCCCCAGCACGGTGTTCTGGAAGCTTGAAGCTTACCGGTATCTCCATTTTCTTTTCACTTCCTTACTGTATCTCGAGTACAATAGAGGGTACTGTGCTTTTTAGATAGGAAAGAGATACTTGTAGGCGCGCGGAGGCAGGATGGATGGGAGGGGAAGCGCAAGGATGCGGTTGTACAAAAGCAAGGCGCCCTGACCCGAACGACGTGTGGGCGTCGGTATCAGTACGAGGACAGTAGAATATCATGGTGCGAGTGACAGTCAGCTGGACACCCCGGCGAGCCGCCCCCGTCAATAAGGTCCGGGAGTGCTGGGGACAAAAGGTGGAAAAAAGGCTTGGTTGGACCCATGGATACGGTAGATTACTGGTAAGTTACTGCACCTACTTGTACGAGTAACCTCACCTATTGCTAATGGTATGTGATACCGTAGTCAGCCATAAGCCTCATCGTGCTACCACCACCACGCAACCACAACGGTCCTTTCAACGAAAGCTGGGTTATCCATCCATCCCATCGACCGCTACTGTACAATATACCCCTTTACCCACACCACCGCAACCACCACCAACCACCACCACCAACCACCACCGCACTACCGCTGCTACAATTACTGCCGTATCGTATCATTCGACACCGACAGCGGGGAACCGACCTACCGACAGCAGCACCACATTAGTCACACGTAGGAGGGAAAAAGAAAGAAAAAGGGGAGCAGAAATAGAGATGTCTTGGTTCTATAACGCTATCGTAGGGGGAGCAGGAGGTAATGGTGGACGGGGTGCTATCGCATTACCGCTGGATCCGCCGCCGACTTACTCCATCAGTGCCAGTTCTGGTGGTCCTCCTGTATCCGCTGCAGCAGGAGGAGGCCAGTTGCCTCGGAGTGTGAAGGGGAGACTCCCGAGACCTCCGTTGGATTTGCCTGCTTTGAATATGATCAGGGGGAAGAGGGTTATTCTAGCATCGGCTTCTCCGAGGCGTAAGCAGTTGTTGTCGCAGGTATGGTGATATATTTCTTTATTTACTCGCTTTACTGTCTTGTTGGTTTTGGTCCAATTGAGGGAAGGGTGGTAGTGTGTTGCGTGTGAATTGTTCACGGAGGTGGTGGTGGAAAATAGCATCTATACCCTCTCAATGCCTACCTCCCTCACACACTCTCCCTCCATAGGTGTCCCGCATGCAACATCTCTAAAGATGGGACGAACTAATTTAGTCCCTCCCCATCCATCTACCTACCCATCTCCCTATATCTTGTGATTCCAATTACGGCATACCCATAACTAACTCACAAATCTGTCTTTAATCATTTCCCTCCCCCACACCAGATTGGCCTGACAGACATAGAAGTGATACCATCAAGTTTTGCCGAGAACCTGGACAAGTCCCGCTACGAGGCCTTTGAGTACGTGCTTGAGACGGCCATACAAAAGTGTCTGGATGTGTACAAGCGTGAGATCGACAACCCGGTCAAGGGCGAGCCCGCTATCGTCTTGAGCGCGGACACCGTGATCGTCAGCTATACCGGGGAGATTATGGAAAAGCCAAGGAGCGAGGAGGGACACTTGGCCATGCTGAAAGCTTTGAGGGATGGGCCTCCGCATAAAGTGTGAGCTTTTTTTCTTCTTTCCCCATTTCTTTTTTCTTCCCATTACTTCCTTCCGGGTTCCTATTCGACCTGGCCGGGTGGGTGGATATTATGCGGATATATGGAAGCTACCATACCTGCGCGCACATAAAAAGGAAGGATACCTAAAATAAACTTTTCGTTTTCTCTCCCCCCCAACATAGAATCCCGACACTCTGGTACGGGGCCTTGGCTAAACTTATCCACCCATTTGCCACACTTATCAGATGCACCGCAGTCGTAGCCATGGCACCCCTAGAAACACTGGTCCACCCGGGCTTACGCGCAGGAGAACCACGTTGAGGAGACTATAGTGACTTTTGACCCAATGGTCACGGACGACCTTCTGGAGGCGTATGTCAAGGTTCCTACCCCCCACCGCCCCACTCCATGCATGCATCAGGGACTAACTAGCCTAAAACTAGACAAGAGAAGGCGCCGACAAAGCCGGTAAGACCCCCCCCGCGCTCTCGTATGATAGAAATGCACCATTGCTTACAAGTGAGAATGCATACAGGTGGCTACGCAATCCAAGGCGCTGGCTCAATCCTCGTGAAGAAGATTGAAGGCACGTTCGACAATGTGGTTGGCTTGCCGCTGCGCGGGACGTTGAAGGTTATCGAGAAGGTATTGAGTAATGATGAGATGGTTGAGGAGGGGGAGGATGAGGGTGGCGAGGACTAAGTCAGGTTGAAGGGTTCGGTGTTGTGATATTGGAGATGGAATCGGTGATGGGGGTTTGGTGCGGTACATGGTAACCTTGAGTCGGAGAGGTTTTTTTTTTCCGCCCAATAGATGGTTTATATATATATATGGTATTATATATATTACATTTTTTATATAGTATAGATACAAGTATAGCTTCTTTCTATACCATTACGATGTTTAATATAGGAGAATGATCCGATTGCATGGTATCCAATTCATCCCACTACTCACCACTTTAAATTTACCCCTCTCAATGCATCATACCAATCTCCAACTCGGCATAATCCTAAACAAACCCCCACCACCCCTTCTTCCATGCTCGCACTTGCACACACACACCACACCACACCAACCAACCCAACCAACCCCCAACCCCCACCACCCCCGTCTTAATCCCTACAAGTACTTGAGTACCTGCGCTGCTTCCCGTAGGGCAGAAATACCCACCCGCCCACACACACACACACGCACACACACACAAACGCATGGAAGTTTCCATGCATTGCGAGCCATCATCTACCACGTGCATCCATCTTGCAAATTAGCCTGGCAAGCAAGCAACCAACCAACCGAGTAAGCAAACAACCTGGTTCAGTTTACACACCATGTTATGGTAGGTATGATAGGCACAGTACTTGTATAACAAGCACGTATGATCTGCCGGAAGGGTGTGGGCAGGGTTTGAAATTTGGGACATGTGCTTGCCGTGGTGGTAAAGTGTGATATTTAATAGGTACTGTACGATATACAATACTTGATATTGAGAATAGCAGTTCTATTTCTAATTCATTATTTACCTTTCGTGGGAGGTGTTGTGCTCGAGTATAATGGCTTTGGGTTTTGGATTTTGTGGGTTTGGTTTGGTTTGGTGCTTGGGTGGGTGGTTGTGGGGGGGGGAGGGTGTAAGCTGTGCTGGGATCCGTAAGTTACCAATGATATCTACCGAGATCTTGGAGTGATGGGCTTCGTCATATCACATCTCATCTCATCGCGGGCTAGCTAGATCCGCTTGCGCCATGGAATGACATCCCCCCAACCAATATGCGTGAGATGGGGTGAGATGGGAGCTTTGAATCTCAGACATATTGCGATTTAGCTAGCTATTACAAAAGAAAAGAAATCCCTATCCGCCCCACTCGATATTTTTTTTGTTTTTTGCTTTCTCCAGATTTTCCCACCCCGTTACGAACGAAAACACAAGAAAAAAAAGAAAAGCTGAAAGGAAATAGAGATAGAAATCAAAACGTATCAAAAACAATCAAGTTACGCCATTTTCCAATCTAGCCATCGCCACCATCATTCGCGTTCCGGGGGTTCCTGATTTTTCTGTTACCCCCCCCCCCGCTCTCTCTCAGCAGCAGCAAGAGGCAGAAGCGACCAATTGCGAACATCCCTCCTCTATATATTTTTTCTGATTTTTCTGATTTTTATTCCCCTCATGAAAAAAAGGCTACTCGTCCACTAGGGAAAGTCAATGGACGTATGTGTCGTGGGCTACTGTAATTCCGGCGGAACATCACCCCCGAGGGCCTTTATGCGCCTTATTAATTCTTGCCGTTCATTAAGGACGTCGCGCATGTGATCGACAGCTATAGAAATATTATTAGTTTTTTCGTCCTCATCCAATCCGTATCTTAGAGAACTATAGAGGAAGGGAGAGGGGGGCAAACATTTCTTAAGAACAATAGATTCAGATCTTCCCTGTCCTTCTAAGCCCGGCACGATTTCCGTGAGCCTATCGAAGCCTTCTCTGATCGCCATGCGCCTCTTCTGCTCGCTGGCAATGTGGTTGTTCTTCTTCTCTTGTTCGGAAAGTCTCGGTCTATCGCTGCTGGCCATTGTTGGTGATGATTCTTTGGCTTCTTGTGACTTCGCTTTGGTCTTGCGACGTTTGGAAGTTTGCGGTGAGGCCGGAGGCTGGGATTGCTGCTGCGCTTGCGTTTGTGAAGGTATTGGTTCTGATACCGAAGGTCTTTTGTGTTGGGTTGTGGATGTTGGAGTGGGTGGTGGTGAGGATGAGGGAGGAGGGCGGATGGATGCAGAATTTATATTCGAGTCAGCCATTGGTGTGGGGTTCACAGGCGGTAAGCTCTCCCCCCGGGCAGGAAGCTTCTGCTCCTCTGAGGTCGAATTTGGTGGGGGTATTTCAGCAGATGCAGAATTCGTGATGACCAAAGTAGCGGAAAGCTCGGCTTCAGTTCCGGCAGCAGAAGCTTTTCTCGGCTCAAGAGCTGAAGAAGCAGGTGATGTTTTGGAAGGAGAAACAGGAGTTTCTGTACGAGGTGATTTATTTCCCTCCATTGTGAGTATGCTCATTTTGTATACAAAACTCCCATAGCACCGTGATCGCTGCTGTAGACCTTATGTGCCGTGCCTCCCACTCTACATTACCTCTGCTTCTCTAGGTCAATTGTGGGAGGCGAGGGGAGAGAAGGTCTAGGTTTTTGCTAGTCCCTGGAGACCTCTGGTGCGTGAACCTGCGCTCCCCAATTTGCCTGCTTGCTTTTTTGTACCTCCCTCAAGGCCCTGGGTAACTCGGGACAAGACTTATGAGCGAAAGGGGGGGGGATCCGACAAGAGAAGTATAGACAAAAGCACGCAAATGGGGGTGGGGAGCTCTCTTGCGTGGTGAAACTTCTGCCGGAAAAGAAGTTTATACAAGGAAAACTAACGATGGGGCAAAGCAGAAAAACAAAGCTCAGAATAAATTGAGGAAGGGGTTAGAAACAGGTGCTTGTGAGTTCAAAACAAAGCCACAAATAACGGTCGAAGTGGTTGGGGTGGAAAGAGAGGTGGGCCTAGGTTCCTTTTCTCCCTTCTTTGCTTTTTGCGTTATTCTCTTTTTCTTGCTGTTACCAGGTAATAGGATAGTATCTACTTAAGGAAGCTTTCTAACGCAGGAACAGCACCTGTGTCGCCTTATGTGACGATCCCCCTCACTAGGAGGGTATTGAACAGGTCTGGGGTATCCAGAGATAGAAAAAAATATGTGCTCTCACCTCTTTGCAAATATAGGATAGGGTTTGTATGTAGTTCGGGTACCGGCGGCCACGGGGGTCAAGGGGACGAGGCTGTCAAAGTGCTGAAAACCAAGCAGCCTTGAGAATCCCTTGTTTACCCGTGAAAAAATAGGTCGAGAATTTCCGGGGGGGCGTAGGGTATGCTACTTGGGGTGGAGGCGATAGGCAGACAGGCAGAGCTGGGGGGAGTAAGAAGATACCGTCAGGTTTTGCGGGAGAGCTGTAAACTGTGCCTAAACAAACGTGCGGCCGAGTCTCCAACCGCCAAAGAAGTGTGAAGGGTGAAAGAAGGGAAAGAAAGAGCGGGGGGAGTGTAGGTCTGATGAGGGGGAAATATGATAGGGTAGGCGTGTGAAGGCGAGAGTGAGGGAAGTACGGTAGGGAAACAACAGAGAGGGAGGAGAACTGAATCCCCCTTTCCGGCTGGAAGGTTGAATGAGGGGGGGAAGGAACCGCCCACTCCTACTTCGGGGGAATCAAGTTATCTTCTTTTACCTGGGTAGCGAAGCCGAGAAATTTTTATATCTTATTAATTTTTATTTTATTTTAACAGCTATTACAGTGGATTTTATCTTGACAAACCCCCAATTATTTTTCGGGGTGAGAGAGGAATGGTGATATTATCATATGTGTGCACTTAGATGCAGCACTCATTTTCACATGCAAAAAAGAAGGGGAGAAAAACATGGAAAAAAGGGGGAAATAAATAAGAATGGGAATAAAATTTAATCACTAGCTAGCAAGTGAATGAGCAGGAAAGTATCATAATAATACTGTGCTGTAGTACGAGTACTGTACTATAGTGTAGGTGAATAGCCAAGCAATCAATTTAGATAGACGGGAAATATGGAAATCTTTCCTTCCTTCCTTCTTTCGCTCGTTCTCTAGCACCGTTACCAGTTAGCATACTTAAGGCAGGCCCCGCGATTCTCCCGTTTATGCTTTACCCGGGCCCAAGGCAAGGGTTCAAATCCTTCTTCCCTCCCTCCTTTCTTTCTTTCTTTCTTTGCGTAAGGGTAACAGTCAGAAGATTGATTTGCCCTCCCCACCATTCAGAACAGTCTCCAATAGCACGACGTTCCAATACTGGTAACAAACTTGGATACCGGTACTCGGGATACAGTGCATTACATAAGTTGATCCGCTCTCCCAGATGCTTGGATCGTTTTAATATCACAAGTTAATACCACCGGTATGATACGGTATCACAAGAGAGTACTGCGCTTTATGCATCCATGGAGGAGAACTGTGAGTGGAGTCCTGATGGGTTTTGCCGGTATGATACAATTTTTAGAATTGAAACAACCACAGACTAACCATAACTCGGCTTGAGGTTATTAGATAGAGTATGGCGTGGTGTACAGCACGTCTACAAAGTACAGTACTCGTAAAAGTACTAGCACGGGCATATCAAATAGAGCGCAAGAATATCATTACTGTGCTGCACCTGACTTGGTCCGGATCGAAATAGCTATATAGCGAGTATCATACTCTTCTTGTAGTTGTCCACACACACCGCAGACGAAGAAGACCCCGGCCGACCGAGCTTCGGGTAAGGTACTTGTGCTATCGCCGAATACCATACCGCTGGGGACAGGAGAATAGGACCCATGGGCCCTATTCTTGTATTGCAGTGGTGGTGGTGGGAGGACCTGGGTCCCTGTCAAATCTGCACCGGCTTTTCATTTCGGCCAGGGGGATGTGGGACTAGATTGGCGAGTTGATGCTCATGCTAGATCAAGCAGATTCGCTTTACCGTTATTGACTTTATAGGCACAGGAAATGACCGGCGCATCATCTACTTACCATATCACATCGTTCACTCCATGCTTTCTTAATGCTTATGCGCACCGATATAGTGCTATCCCCTGTTTTACCTGCATAATTAGTGCTGAGTGCTTGAATTTTCCTCGGTATTATTGTTACGTCGATTCGCCGTTTTCTTCTGGTCTCCCCCCTTCTTTTGTTTTTTTTGGCTTTGTCCAGCTTCTGGTGGGTGGCGGTGGTTTCCTTTGTTTTTTTACTCGCAACAAAGATTTACTGTATCTGTCAATTCTTCCCCCAGCCCTCACCCCTGTCCATCAACCCTCTGTCAAACATCCTCATGCTTTCCGAATTTCACCGCTGTCGCACCGGGGAAACCCACTACTGACCATGGCTGGACGCTTTTTGTTTTTTTCTGCCCCGAGGTAACACAATCTATGCATACTCATTCTCTAGTTCGACAAACTTTTGATAAACCTCTTCCACTGACATGTCTTTCAGACCTTTTTCCACCCCTTCTTCGTGCCCCTGCTCCTGATGCCGAGGAGAAGCCGAGCCCAGGCTAACAGTCTTTGCTTGAAGATTCTTTTCTCCAACAACAATAATGTAATTGTAATGCTTAATTCTAGCCGCTCTAACCTTCCTGGAGAGGAGGCCCCCGCTTTCGTCAATGTCGACATTGAAGGTGCGTCTGCTCATTGCTAATGGGCTATGCGCATTGGTCTGGCGGTCTGTTTCCTCAGGCAATCCGGATATTCCCTTCTTGACACCTCGTGCATATGCCACTATTTCATCCGTCATAGCAACCGGAATCACGATCGCCTGCCGAGGTGAAAGCCAAAAAGGCCATTTGCCGTTGTAATGCTCTATCAACAACGCCATGAAACGTTCAAGTGATCCGAGAATAGCTCGGTGTATGATCACAGGCGTGACGAAACCGGACTCCTTCAGCTGCTCGGGGTCCGTACTGAGGATTCCCTTCTGCTCTGCGGCTGGAGCAGGTGCAAAGTAATTTAACCCGAGTCTTCGAGGCAGCTGAAAGTCCAATTGAATTGTTGCCGTTTGGTGTTCCTTTCCATCAGAATCCGTGAGAATGGTGTCAATTTTCGGTCCATAAAACGCGCCGTCTCCCTCATTAATCGCCCAATCCTGGCCTGATTTATCCAGAGATGCCTTCAGGGCTGCCTCAGCCCGATCCCATTCCTCCAGCGATCCCATGTAACCCTCCTTTGGCCTCGTGGACAGCCTCAGTTTGTAGGGCGGGAGATGAAATACCTTGTAGACCGTTTGGATGAACCGTAGGGTTGATGATATTTCTTGGGAAATTTGGGACGGCCGGCAGAAGATGTGAGCATCGTCCTGATGAAATCTCCGCACTCTAGTGAGACCGCTCAATGATCCAGAATTCTCATTCCTGATTTGCTCATGTTAGCGGAATATGCCCCGTTCGAAGGCGTCGCGGGTCTCGCGTTGTAGTCTTTGTTCGGGTAACGCTGGGGCTAGAGGTGTGACAGAACCCTGTGGGGGGGAGGGGGTCCATACCTATGTAATGGGGAGAAGTCTGCATATCTGACCGGTAAATCCCTCAGGCTCAGTTTGCCCGCAGCGTGTTTGAACAGTAAGCAATGTCCGGGACAGTTCATTGGTTTTAGCCCGAACTCTTCACCTGCCTCCACCTTTCCCTGTCCACCAATTGCGGTTTGTCCTGTTTCCTCTGTCTCCCATCCAGTGACTTTGAACATGTGTTCGTTGTAGTTTTCCCAATGTCCGGAGGTTTCCCATAGTGATTTCTTGTATATAGTTGGTGTGATGACTTCCTCGTATCCGTAGAGGGTGTACTGCGAGCGGATGAAGCTGATGAGTTTGTTAAAAATGCGAGAACCGTGAGGAAGAAATAGTGGTGAACCAGGGGATACCGGGTGGGTTATGAGGAGGTCCTGAGCAGCGGCTAAGAGACGGTGATCAGGAGGGGAACCGCCAGTGTGCCCAGGCTTCGGAGAGCCCGGGGAAAGTGTATGGGACGATCGCGACCACGACGCACGAGCAATTGGTCTGGGTGAGGGTATCCGGTGTAGGCAGGTTTGAATGATGGAAAGCCGCTGCGCAATTAGCAATGCCGGGCGACGCATCTGCCGAGAAATCTGGGCAGCCAAGAGGAGGGAGAATGAGGGGGAACTCAGATGGCTGTGCCTATGAATGGGGGTATGGAATTGAAGGTTGTGATGAAGGGAGCCTATTAAAGTTATTATGATACTTCGTTGCTCGTTGGTACATACAGGTGCGACGATGTGAGGGACAAAGTTTCGCAGAGCCCCATATTCTGCAGTAGGTTAACTTACCCCGGAAAAAATCTTCACTAACCGAGGGCTTACCCCTCCAGTACTGTAACCAGTGCCTGCCACAAGTACTCGAGTATGATACTATACGAGTACGGTCCGCACCACGTTTCGTGATGCGGCTGGAGGTATGGCAATACAGGTTTTACAGCGCTCATGCCGTAGTCAAGAGTGTAGACTAAGTATGATATGTACTTGTACTCGTACAGTAGTAACAAAATCGCCTACCCGATTGAACAGACTTCTACTTGTGCTGTACAGTACTCGAGTAAAGGGACTGGTTATGTTTCGCTCGAGCACAGGGATGAGTGATGGTGTTATTTACGCACAGTTCTACGGTACTGTACAGCACTCGAGCACCCGGTACACTCGTGAGCTGAGACATCCGCGGGCCGCTAGATGGTCAATAGTACCGCAAGTTAATTACAGTAGTGGTCACAATTGTGAATCTGGGATACTGGTAATCGCTCTTGCGCAATCCGTAACATGATAGGCACTGAGGAGTGATACCGCATCAGCTCAGTCTGAACTAAAAATTGATTTCGGCCCGTGGAGTGTAATGGCCGAAAGGAACGTATTCGAGTATAGAATTTTTGCTTGTGGATATAAAGCACCGCTGGTGCCGGGTGCTATGTAGTGCGTGGAGATTTAGGTGTGATCTGACCAATGGGAACAAGAAATCTCGTATTGTAATTGGTCGCTAGCTTTGAACTGCGTTTCATCTGGTCGCAGCGCGCCGGGAGAAACTCTCTTCCAATCCGGCGACCCGGATATTCTAGTGAGTGGTTGCGTTTTTTTCGCTGGGGGAATGATAATGGTGCATGATTATGAAATTCCTCTGGGAGTAAACTTTATGTCCTGGAAATATTCTTACTTTATGTTTGAGACGGTTCTATCGGTGCGCTTAACAAGATAGAAGGGACTTGATAGTAGCCCTTTCTGGGAAATAACTTTTTTCTATACCCTTCGCAGAAGAATTATGTATAACCCGAACCCAGCCAGTTCATTAGTCGCAGACTCCCGAAACGCCAATGTCTGGAGGCACCACCACGTCGGTCATGAGAGCTTGCTACCCAGCGGCCACCGCCCTCTCCAACAATTCATTACCGTATTTCCTTCCATTCAATGCTGCCATCTCCTCCTTTACCAACCTCCTGAGCAATTTCCGTTCTTTTCGCTTTTCGTCCTCCTCCTTGCGCTCTCTCTTCCCACCTTTACCCCCTTTTTCTTTCCGTCCATTCTTACGCTTCTTCTTCACCCTCTCGCCCTTCCGCTCAACCCCACTCCTAACCGCGACCTCTTTGCCATCCCCCTCAGCCCCGGCAATCTCCTTGCCACCGTGAAGCACACCCCCCCTCACAAAACGGATATAAAACCTCGCAATCCTCTCCAGTCCGATGGGAGTCACATTCTTGGCGGTCTGGGTAACTGTCACTTCACCGCCTACGCTCGCCACATCGAGGTTCTTGAGCTGGCTATCAAAGGCTTTCTCCCACCATTGGTCAGAACTATGTTGTTTTTTGCCTGCCCATACTGCCTAGTTAGCATTCCGGAGGAATAGAGCGCTGCGAAGAGGAACGAGGGGTGAGACGAACCGATACCATAGTTGTTTAGCTTTTGGGAGTAGAGGATAGGTTTTTGGTTGTGGCCGCGTCCATTGGTCCAAAGGAAGTCTTCTCTCGTGACTTTTATCGGCATGGTGGAAGGGACGGTGGTGATGGTGAGCCAGAAATTCGGTGAAGATCAAGATAAAGGATTGATGCGGTTACCCGGCTTTTCTTGGTGGTACAGACCCTGAGCCGGGTTGCTACGGCCGTGATTGGGGGAAAGAATTAACTGAGGCTTAGAGATGCATTTGTGCGATGGTGGGGTTACAAGGTCGGGGGATGCTATCTTTGTTTCGCTTCGTTCCACTCACTGATGTGTTTGCCAGTTTCGGGATCGGAGATCTCACAAGTGATACCCAGAGATTGACAGATCAACTAGAAAGAAGTGTTTATTCTTGACAAAAATGGGGTATGTATGGTCCAAAAGCTCAGGTCTAGCGGGGAAACTTAGGATACAGATCATTCTACAGTATGTATCGAGTATTTTTAAAACCCACGAATTTACAAGGCCCTACAACCATGGCCTGCCCCCGGTTCATGTCTCCAGGGATTGCATTATCGGGTTTATCTGTAAGTTAGTGCTCTGGTGGGGATAACGATCAACTCTGTCATCCAATAATAGTCTAACAACCTTAACCACACATCACTCCTTCCTCTGCGAGGCTGGGCTACCCTTAAGAATTTGTCCACCAAAAATCGTTGGCCTAGCGTTCTGTGCGGTAGCCGGTTCTCCTTGCGTGGGATATGCATTGCTGCTGATACTTTCAGGCTTCGAGTTCTGATCTGGGAGCAACTGCACTTCAGCAGACAAGCTACCCCTCGGCATCCTAATTCCTCCCTCCCAGTGCGCGCCTCTATATTCCCACAGTTCAGCATTTACCCCCCCTCACCGAAAAGAAAAAAACATACATCAATTCTTCTAAAGCAAAAAGGTGGGGGGGGGCACCAATTAACTAGCCCCACTTCGACTGCGTCCGAGACTCCGGACGTCCACTCCTTAGGCGGGGCGCAGACCCCAACCCGCTACCTACCGCTCAGACGGGAACCAGAAAGATCCTAAATCCTTTGCCAAATATCTTAGTACGGCAAATTCTCTCGTTTTCTCTTATGAAGGCCGGGAGATCAAGTCGAGTTAATGGCCGCCGGTCGTAAGGGGAACGCGCGGCATCAATTGCTAGAGTTATTGTCACTCCTGAAGAGGGTTTTTTTTCTCTCATTTTTTCTTCGTAACATCATAGCTTATACTTGGTATTCCCGGGACGTGTCGATTTGGGGGATCGGTTTGGGTGGCGGTATCATGTTTCACCTCAGTGAAAATTGACCTTCACGGCCGATCACTCGATGAATGTCGTGGAGGGAATTCGTGTTCAGGGACCACTAACCTCTGTTTTCGGCGTTCAAACACTTACGGCTGCATTCACCTCTTGCCAAGATTTACTGCTCGGGAGGGTGGTGTTGCTCTGGGGTTTTAAAGGGGCATGGGATAGTTAAACTGTGATTTCTTTGGCAGACTCAAATATTTCGATGAGCAGGACACAGTTTCACCCTACCTATGATATAGTGATATGATATGATATCTATCATATCGTACACCAGCTAGTGGGGGTCAGCCTTCTAACTCATATAAACGCTTGTTCTTCTGAAGTGGTTATAATTATAGAGAACTTAAGTAGGGTATGTGGGTTCCTGTGTAAAATTCATGACAGAACCGTAAGCCAGATTTCTCAGGGTAGGGTGTAAGAAGTGCTCCAGTAGATAGAGGAGGAAGCTGGCTTTCCTCGAGCGATTTAGGGATAAGCTGGAAACGGAAATTGTGGGCGTGCTGGTAGATGTGAAGACGACCAACCAATGATATTATAGGCGGAACAAAAAACCACCTATTTTGGCTGTCCTTGTCAAGATTGGTTGTAGTTATGGCGCAGTGCGTTATACACGCTTGCGGACTGGCTCACCCGAATACAGGTTCAGGGTTTCTGCGGCAAAATGTATCCATCATGTAAGTTAATGAAGACCACTGACACTACTCAGACTTTCTTTTTCGATAGTGGAATGGCCACCGAGATGCCCTCCTACAAGAGTCGTTCCTCCCGATCGTGCTTTCCGCTGTGGCCACTAGTTGCCCCCGTTTACGATAAGTGATATCTCCATTTTCTGGATTGGAGGTAGATCCGTCATAAATATAGAAGATTCATGACTCAATTCGCAAAGAATGTTACTGATCGTTGAACGGGATTTACGGAGAAAGAGGGGGAAAGCAACGATGTCCGGAACAATGTAGGGGATATTAAGTATGGGGAATGCTGTACTTGGTTCGGCGACGGTGGTCATGGAGCTCTTGTGGCTGCGAATTTACATACCGGTATGCTAGGATCGCCCTGGAGGACAGGATAAGGTGCGTGGGTGTAAGAGCTCATGCTATATCGGTTGCTGGCTATGCCTTTGTCTCGTCGGTTTCCGGGCAGCACGCTCCCTGAAGTTGAGAGAAACCGCGGGGGGGGGAGAGGGGAGAAATACCATAACAAGGAAAATTCTGAATTAGGCTACGCACGGGTACGGAACTCGAAGAATCCGTGTACGGAGGTACAGCTCCTAAGTTTTGTATGTTACACCGATTGCTCACACAATGCCCACTGCGAGTGTAACATACAAAACTTAGGCGCTGTACCTCCTCCGTAGGGTGTGACTGAGACAGACGGCTGAAGATTGTCAGATACCGGTACGTGGGTGGTGGTGAGTATGATAGGAATTAGCAATTATAGTGGGAATGGGGGGGGGCGAAGGCCTTGGAACAGCCTCGGGTGCTCAAAGTAGGCATCAGTAGCAATACATATCTTTGCGAGACGAATCTACCAATATCAGTCACCGTTTGGTAATTAGCACTTGGATCCCCTCTTGTTTGGAGGAATAGGTAAAGCACAAAATCGGTACTACTTATATTGTTTCTTTCCTCGATCATGCACGGCGAGGGGTCTTGACGAGGTGGCGAGCTTTCAGATGGGCAGCCAAAGATGGCAACACAAAGCTGCTTGTACCGGTATCATCACACAATTTCTTCCTGGGAATTGGGCCCGACTTCCAAGCCAGTCAGTGGTCTCGTACAGCCACCAGACAAGAGTGTTTGTGATAAGAGACATGACATTAGAGAGCTTCAGGAGTCCCAATTCGGAAATTTTTAAGTTCAACGCGGTTCAGGGGGTTCTCCGTTTAAACGATACGGTATCATACCTTTGCAAAAACGGGTCTGTGTTCTGAGGAATCTAAGAAACCTTGGCTCTAGAGTGAGAAAAAATAGAAATCCAACAAGCCAAGAGCACCGATCTATACCCCTAAAGGAATAAACTGTATGTCTTAGCTAACTTAAAAATTTCCTTTTATGATATGATAGCAACCAAATTGGGATTCTTGAAGCTATGATACCCAATTGTTTAGTTGGGTTGATGGCACCATCAGTGTCTATGAGGAGGGGGTACAGTACAGTACAGTACAGTAGTGGGGCTATCACCTCCTCGTTGGGGGGTCCGTAGTCAACGAATAGTTGTCGATGGCTAACTCACAGTAAATTAAGCGTTAGAAGGAAAGGAGGGTGCCGGTATCGCACAGGGAAAGTGGGTCGGGTATGATATGGAAGTGAATGCCAGATGCTCGAGTAGACTCCGTGAGGGCTCAGCGAGGTTTGGCGATAAGAATCAACGAAATCTTCCCACAAAATATTTGCCAAGCCTCACTGAGGGGCCACCTGGCTTAGCCCTCGCTTAGCCCTCACTGAGTCTGGCTTGTAATATTCGTGTGATATGTGAATAAAAAAATATGATACATAACTCCTCCTACACTTTACATTTCGTTTTCCTAATGTTGGGCATCGGTTGGGACTTTCAGATTTCTACTTTTTTTTGGTGCATTTTCTGTTTGACTGATTTACATACTGGTAGTACCAGTCTGGGGAGTAGGCAATTTGACGGTTGAAGGTACAGTAGAATGAATATACGATACATTGTGAGTGGTTAGTGGTCATAGTACCCGATGTTCATTAGTAAAATGATCCCCCACTCTCCAAGAGGCGGCGGCCCTACAAGAAGGTTGCTCACTCGTTAATTTACGGTTATTCAGGTCCTGCCAGCGCTTGTGGAGGCTTGAGCGGGTGCCACAAGCATTTGGGGTAGCCTATTAAAGGAATATCGGTACTGGTACTGTAGGCGGAGAACCACTTAATGGGTTACCATACCGTACGAGTATGATGGGCGCATTTCACCTCTCAGCCTCACCTTAACGTGTCAAGCCCAGGCTATCTTGATCCTGATCGACAATTCTCATTCATTTGGGCTCCTTACCAGAATCCTCTCCCCTTGTGTTATTGTATGCGAAATATCTCGGATTCTTCTTTACATCATACCGCAGGTTTGATCCTCTCTATTAATGCAGATCTCACTTGTATCTGACGCTGGGTGTTAGCCTCTCGTAGGCCAATTAGACCCTCGGCTAAAGTGAGAAGCTATCAGGGGGATCGGAAAGGAGCCGAGAAAGAAAGCAGAACAGTGCAAGTCACAAGATAGGTGTACGGGTACGTACGAACCAAGTAAGTGGAGCCCTCGCACGGGGGGTAATCTTGGGTTCTGGCTGGTGTTCTCGGGGACGGTCCCTATAACTAACGCTTTATAGCACCAAACGTCAGAGCTCTGGCAAGAATAATTCCGGATCGTGCCCGGGGTCTACTGTACTCAGGTATCTTAGAGAAACGAGTCGACGGTAACCCACCTAATAGACGAGGAAATTCGTTTTCGGGACAACCGGGACGACAAGTTCAACTCGGGCCGGCGGTTCGGTTTCCTCGTCCCAACAGAGGGGAGACTTGGGCCCCAAAACCTCCATGTCCGAGTAATAACTCAGAGGGCGTGCTGCAGATTAGAAATTATGCGTCGCTTTATGTTGGGAGGTGTGCGGAAGTCCAAATTTGACCCGGATAACCCGGGTAGCTTGAGGGACATCAACAACCGAGGTGTGGCACTGCAGAATCAGGGAAAGTACGATGAAGCCGAGATTATGCACCGACGTGCATTGGCAGGCATCGAGAAAAAGCACGGGCCGGATCATCGAGAAACCTTGACTTATATCAATAATCTCGGTACAGCACTGTATTTTCAGGGAAAGAACGACGAAGCTGAGATTGTGCTTCAACGTGCATTGGTGGGTAAGGAGAAAACGCTTGGGCCGAAGCATCGAGATACCTTAAATAGTGTCAATAATCTCGGTACAGTGCTGAATTGTCAGGGAAAGTACGACGAGGCCGAGATTATGCATCGGCGTGCATTGGCGGAAAGAGATAAAAAGCTCGGGCGAAATCATCAAGATACCCTACAGAGTGTTAGTAAGCTTGGTGTAGTGCTGCATGGTCAGAAAAAGTACGACAGAGCCGAGGTTATGCATCGACGTGCACTGGCGGGCAGGGAGAAAATGCTCGGTCTAGACCATCGAGATACCTTACAGAGTGTTAGTGATCTGGGTATGGTGCTGCACTGCCAGGGAAAGTGCGACGAGGCCGAGAATACGCATCGACGTGCATTGGCGGGCCGAGAGAAAACGCTCGGGCTAGATCATCCTGACACCCTGCAGAGTGTGAGTGATCTGGGTGTGTTGCTGGATCGTCAGGAAAAGTACGACAAGGCCGAGTTGATGCATCGACGTGCATTGGCGGGCCGAGAGAAAACGCTCGGGCTAGATCACCCTGACACCTTGCAGAGTGTGAGTGATCTGGGTGTGTTGCTGGATCGTCAGGAAAAGTACGACAAGGCCGAGTTGATGCATCGGCGTGCACTAGTGGGCAGAGAGAAAACGCTTGGCCTAGATCATCGAGATACCTTACGGAGTGCTAGGGATCTAGGCGTAACACTGCACTACTGTGGGAAGTACGACGAAGCGGAGATTATGCATCGACGTGCATTTGCGGGCCGAGAGGAAACAGTCGTGTTAGATCGTCGAGATGCCTTACAAAATGCCAATATTCTAGGTGCGGTGCTGCAGGATCAGAACAAGAGAAACGAAGTGGAAACTAACTTATGCATCGACATGTAGCAGAAGGTGGGGAGAATGCACTTGGACCACAACACCCAAACGTCTTACTAGGTGTTGTTGGGTTAGCTGTGAAACTTCTTGGTGAGAGAAAGTATGAAGAAGCTGAGATCATGTATCGACACGCCCTAGGGGCTATGGAGAAGGCCCTGGGGCCAGATCATCCAGATGCCCTCGATAGCATGAACACGTTAGGCGAAACGCTGCTTGGCCTGGAAATATATGGTGAAGCGGAGGCTATGTGTCGACGCGCATTGGCGGGCAGAAAGAACGCTCTAGGAGCAGATCACGCAGCTACCCTTACAAGTGCAGATAACCTTGGCTGGACACTGTATCATCAGAGAAGGTACGAAGAAGCGGAGATGATATTTCGATCTACGCAGGCGGGTAGAAAAGAAGTGCTTGGACTATATCATCCCGATACCCTGCTGAGCGTCATTAGCCTAGGTGTGACGCTGCTTGATCTGAAAAAGTACGAGGAAGCTGTGGTCATCTATCGACATGCCCTAGGGGCGATGGAGAAAGTTCTGGGGCCCAATCATCGGGGTGTCCTCGATAGCATGAATACGTTAGGCGAGACGCTGCTTGATCTGAAAAGGTATAGCGAAGCTGAGGTTATGTGTCGACGTGCGCTGGTAGGGAGAGAAAGGACGCTTGGGCTAGATCACCGAGATACCCTACTAAGTGCCAATAATCTTGGTGTGGCACTGCGAAATCAGAATAAGCACCACGAAGCGGAGATTAATTATCGCCGTGCATTGATGGGTGCGCAGAAGACGCTTGGACCTGATCACCAAGATACCCTAATGTGCGTTTATAATCTGGCTTGCGCGTTGCACAAACAGGGGGAGTATGACAAGGCGGAGGTGATGCATCGGCGTGCCCTGGCAGGGCGAGAGAGGGTTCTGGGGCTAGGTCATCGATACACCATTCGTGGCCTCATTAAGCTAGGCGCAGCACTGTACTCGGGAAGAAAATACGATGAAGCGGAGATCATGTATCGACGTGCAGTTACGGAGGCAGAGAGAACTCTGGGGCCGGGTCACCCAGTGACTCTAAAGAGTTTTAACCACCTCTCGATGTTTCTCAATGCCCGGGCGACGAGTGCCTCGGGTGAGGCATCATTACGGGGACGAAGGATTTAAGTTTACTCAGGGATGAAATTACGTTGGATATATTTTTATTATTATTCCTCTTAACTCCTTTCCTTTTTATTTCCGCAATATCTATCATAGCTGTCACAATATCGGGTTCCCTTCATACTTCCTGACGACTAGCCCTGATGTGGGAGTGTTGAATGGTTTAATTTTTCTGATTGGAGGTAAATTAGCTTCATAGTCAGGGAACTAATGATTTATTCTTCCATTGGATCGAAACCCTTGTTCGTCATGATCCACTCGCCTATAACCCGACGGGCTAGCTCTAGACTGGGGCCAATGGTTGTTACAATTTCTTTTCACAGTGTCTATCCTTTTAAGGTAGAGGCCGTTGGGCATGCGGTAAAGTAAGCCTCCAAATTAGTCATGAATCAAGCGTTCTATGTATACATTTCTTGCTCGGGGAATATATATGAGATATGATAATGCAGTTTCCTTCCACCAAACCTTCCGCCTCCGCAATCCCCTACACGGAATGAGGTGTTGTAGGTGCGATCATTGATTGCGCTTTTCTCGCTTGCTCTTAATATACGTGTGCTGCTGGTACAATTCCTTAGATTATCTAAATAAGTGGCCTCTGGGAAGGTTATGTTACTGTACTCCACATATCCTCTCAATCCCGTGGGGTCTATCCATATATGCTCACGCTGCCAGCGTCCCTGCCCGGGTGTTGCAATAAAATAATTTGTCGTACCCATGCGCAGTCAAGAATCGTTCTATACTAGTATCATAACTCTAGCGGATTTTTCAACGAGTGATTATCCGTGACGCCAATATAGGAACTAAGAGGGGAAGTTATATCATACAGCTCCAGCAACAGCAGCCGGGACAGATTTCCCCACGCTCTGCTGGATCCCCACAGGCATTGTTTCCGCCTGCCACAGGTGGGAAGATGTGGTATCATATGTCATTTGTAGGTTTGGCGTGTTTACCCTACTGCTGGAGTGGAGGACCTATTCCTGAGCCCTGGGGATGGCAGGCGCCGCCCTGCTGTATCGGTTACGGCGGCGCATTAATACGACACCTATGCTAGCATTAGGTTAGCGCTCCTGAAATTGGCCAGGTCTCGCACTATAGCGGGATGAAAGGGGATTCGCATACGGTACCTCTTGTCAGCATTATTTTGGGCCGAGTAGCTACATCACTTCATTCAGCGGACTACCGTAGCGCAGTCAGTTGCCAGCGAGTTTCAGGCTCGCGAAAATGTGTTGGTTAGATGGCCATTTTACACCGAAAGGCTTTGAATTTTAGCTACATGTTACAGTACGTAATTGGCTGTCAGATATTTTTTCAACCGGACTTTGGGTTTTAATTGCTGTAATTCCATTGCGCTTTGACATGGACCTTACCCACTTTGGTGGGGGGGTGGGCAATTTTATGTATGATAGTTCGAAAGTTTTGAAACACGATAGCTCAAATGTGTCATTTTGTATATCCTACCTTCGAAGACAAGCAATTTAAAAACTAAGGGCGGGTAAACCTTGTGAGTGTTTTCTAGTCAAAGTTTGAGAAAATTTGAAACTAATTAGGTAACTTAGATTGTGTGCTTTATTCGGAGCAACTCCAATTGCAGGGCGTCGGCAAACACCGTAGGCCTGGGGCAGAGAGATCCTTCCAAGAGGTCTTCTGATGAAGGGCGCTTTGCATGCATGATGAGGAGGGACCTTCAGTAAGTAACGGGGGGGCATAGACTTCCCTTACTCCCGATTGATTAGCAGAATGAAATTTATTGGTCAAAAATCTAGCCCACCCGTGGACAGGGCGCTATGCCATATGCCCTGTTATCAACTGCGGGTGAAAAACACGACTCTGTAATGTTTTGTGTTCTCATCGAGTGCAACTATCTCATTGGCTTGTCATTCCAGAGGTTACTTCCACCCTATCTGACTACGTGTTATGAATATTAGATGTCCATATTCAAAAGCAAGGGACCTGATGGCGAGTAAGGAGGGGTCGAGAGAGAAACAACTCGTCTTATCCAGTGTGCTTGATTGGCTGAGTTACTTTGCAATCTTGCGCCATTTTTGCAAGCATAGTGTCTCCCCTAGATTCTCATTTACTGATGTATTTTATTTTGAGTCTGATAAACTGTGTCGGCATTTGGAATCAGTCGCCGACCGATTGCAATCTGGATAATCCACTACTCAATTGTGGGATACCGGTAGTCATAGCAGCCGATGTCTCCCTCCAAGAGGAGAACCTACTTTCAAGAAGATTGTTTATTCATTATAGCCGTTTAGGTGGGTTATAGTTCTAGGCATTGGGTGCCTCCGGTAGAGCTCGCGGAGGCTGGAACTGGCGCTACAAGTACTTGAGTAGCCTATCAGAAAAGTATGATAGGAAGAGAGCCATGCGATTGGTTTTGGTGGATGCACTCCACCTCTCAGCCTCATCCTAACGTGCCAAGCGCAGCCTATCTTGATCCAGATCAACGACCCCCATATTATTCCTTGAGCTCCTTACTAGGACTCTCCCCTTCTATTATTGTATGCGGAATATCTCGGATTCTTTTTTACATCATACGGTAGGTTCGACCCTCTCTGTTGATGCAGATCCCACTCATATCTGACGCCGGGCGTTAGCGTGTTGCGGGCCAATTAGACCCCCGGCTAAAGTGAAAAGCTATAAGGGGGACCAGAAAGGGAACGAACCAGTACAGTACAAACCAAGGAATAGCTGTACGAGAAGTGTAAGTTGTAAGTACTTGTATAGCCCTTGCATTGTGAGTAATCCTGGGTTCTACCATAAGTGGTGTTCTCAGGAATAATCCCCAAAACTAACACTTTGTAGTACTAAACGTCAAAGTCTAGCAAGAACAATTCCGGACCGTGCCTAAGGCCTACTTAGGTATTTTAGAGAAACTAGCCAATAGCGAGTACGCGAAGAAATTTGTTTTCGGGACGACCGCGACGGCAAGTTCGGCTCAAGCCAGGAATTCGGTTCACGCGTCGCAATAAAGGGGAGACTTGGGCCCCAAAATCCACAGACTCAAATAACATCTCAGGGGGCGGACTGCGGAGTAGAAGTTATGCGTCGGTTTATGTTGGCAGCCATGCAGAAGATACTTGGCCCAGGTCATCCGGATAGCTTAAGGATCATCAATAACCGGGGTGTGGCACTGCATCACCAAGAAAAGTACGATACGACGAGGCTGAGGTTATGCATCGATGCGCATTGGCGGGCATGGAGAAAACGCTCGGGTTAGATCATCGGGATACCTTAAAGAGTGTTAATAATCTTGGTGTGGTGCTGGGGCATCAAGGAAAGCACGATGAGGCCGAGAGTATGCTTCGGCGTGCCTTGGCGGGCAGAGAGAAAACGCTCGGGCCAGATCATCGAGCAACCTTACAGAGTGTTAGTCATCTAGGCGTCGCTCTGCTTGATCGTGGGGGGGATACGACGAAGCGGAAAGTATGCATCAGGGTGCATTGGCGGGCAGAGAGGATATGCTCGGGTTAGATCACCGAGATACCTTCCAGAGTGTTAGGAAGCTAGGTATGGTGCTGCATCATTAGGAAAAGTACGACGAGGCCGAGATTATGCGTCGGCGTGCACTGGTGAGCAGAGAGAAAATGCTCGGGCTAGATCATCGAGATACTTTACAAGGTGTTGGTGATGTAGGTATGGTGCTGCATTATCAGGGAAGGTATGACGAGGCCGAGATTATGCATAGACGTGCATTGGCGAGCAGAGGCAATACACTTAGGCTAGATCATCGAGATATCTTACAGAGTGTTAGTGGTCTAGGGGTGGCGCTGTATCTCCGGGGAAAGTACGACGGAGCGGAGATTATGCATCGACGTGCATTGGCGGGCAGGGAGAGAACGCTTGGGTTAGATCATCGAGATACCTTACATAGTGCTAATAACCTAGGTGCGTTGCTGCATCGGAAAAAGCTCAACGAAGTGGAAAGCACGCATCGACAGGCAGAAGGTGGAGAAAACGAGAGAACGCACTTGGGCCACATCACCCAGACGTCCTAGTGCTATTGGGCTAGCTGTGACGCTTCTTGATGAGAGGAAGTATGAAGAAGCTGAGATCATATATCGACATGCCCTAGGGGCTATGGAGAAAGTTCTGGGGCCCGATCATCTAAATGTCCTCGATAGCGTGAATACGTTAGGCGAGACTTTGCTTGATCTGTAAAAGTATCATATGGCGAAGCGGAGGTTATCAACAGTCGAGCCAAGTTTTCCCTGTGCTAAATTCCCGCTTGGGTTTCTTCCACCCGCCCTATGCCCGATGATGTAGTATGAGATTTGCAGGTGCGGTGTGTTCACCCGACTGCGAGAGAGCGGACAGGAAGAGGGAGGGTTCCTGGGCCCAAGAGGATAAGTTAGCAGATACCATCCCGTTATATCGACATAACTGTCTATACGAGTGTTAGGTTAGCACTTCTGAGCTTGGCCAAGCTTTTCATCATAGCGGGGTGGAAGGAGATTCCGCGCTGTACTATACAAGTACCAAGGGTGGGCAAAAATAGTGCAGCTCCTAACGGCTGTAATTGATTTTGGTTCCATGAAGTGAAAAACGGAGACAGACCATCGGTACAACAGATAATAAAGTGACAATTTATCATGACCTGTTGTATAGATATGCGTTTGACGGTGCTACGTTATTATCATCTACCCCCTAGTGCAGTAAATTGTAAATTCCCGCGGGACCTGAGCAGCGTGCGGGATTGCTTAGTAAATCTAAGCGGCCGGACTGGCCCAGGCTTTTTCAGACTCGGCCTGGCCGGACTG